TGTGTGTGTGTGTGTGTGTGGTGTGTCCCTTCTGTCCCTCCCCTGCCTTTCCCTGCTCAGTGCCTCTTTTTCCCCCAACAGGCCCCCCCACGATGTGGATACCCATCACCTGCGCTGCGGCGATGCTCACCCTCCTGGTCCAGGCCGGCCCGGCTACGATGCCCCCGCTGAGCCCAGACAAGGCCTCCATCTTCGCTGACTTGAGCCCCGCGGAGCTCCGGGCGGTCCGGACGTTCCTGATGAGCCGCCCGGAACTGGGTCTCCAGCCCAGCAAGGGGGGCACCCTGGCCAAAAACAGCCTCTTCCTGATCGAAATGCTGCCCCCCAAAAAGAGCCAGGCCTTGTGCTACCTGGCCTCCGGCGCGCAGGCCCCGCGCCGACGGGCCCGGGCGGTGGTCTTCTTCGGCGCCGGGCCCCAGCCCAACGTCACCGAGTACGTGGTGGGCCCGCTGCCCGTGCCCACGTTCTACCGGCCCTCGGGCCGGCCGGCGGCCTTCTCCGCCAGGCCCATGAGCCAGCTGGAGTACCAGCTGCTCTTCGACAAGCTGGTGGACCTCCTGGCCCCCTTGACCCAGCTCCTGACCGACGTCTCCGGCTTCGGCCTCCGGGACTGCGGCCAGCGCTGCCTGACCTTCACCGACATCGCCCCGCGGGGCCTCGCCTCCGGCGAACGGCGGACCTGGATCATCCTGCAGCGCGCCGTCGAGGGCTTCTTCCTCCACCCGGTGGGGCTGGAAGTCCTCATCAACCACCGGCACCTGGACCCCACCCGCTGGTCCATCGAGAAGGTCTGGTACAACGGGAAGTATTTCGACACGCCGCAGGAACTGGCGCGGCAGTACGCCCAGGGCAAGGTGCCCGCCGTCAAGCTGGTGCCTTACCCGGAGCAGACCCTCTTCTCCAGCTTCGTGCCGCGCGGGAAGTTCGGCGGGGAGCCCCCGACCAACACCCACGGCGCCAAGGTGTGCGAGCCGCAGGGACGCCAGTACTCGGTGAGCGGGAACCTGGTGAAGTACGCCGGGTGGAGCCTGGCTTTCCGCCTGCGCACCTCCACCGGCCTGCAGCTCTTCGACGTGCGGTTCAACGGCGAGCGGGTGGCCTACGAGCTGAGTGTGCAGGAGGCCATCGCCTTCTACGGCGGCAACTCGCCGGCCGCCATGCAGACCAAGTACATCGACGTGGGCTGGGGCATGGGCAGCGTCACCCACGAACTGGCGCCGGGCATTGACTGTCCGGAATCGGCAACCTTCCTGGACGCGTACCACCACTACGACGCCGACGGGCCGGTCCGCTATCCCCGGGCCATCTGCGTCTTCGAGCTGCCCACCGGCGTGCCCCTGCGGCGCCACTTCGACAGCAACTTCCAGGGGGGGTCCACCTTCTACGCCGGGCTGGAGGGTCACGCCCTGGTGATCCGGGCCACTTCCACCGTCTACAACTACGACTACATTTGGGACTTCCTGCTCTTCCCAAACGGAGTCCTGGAGACCAAGGTCCACGCCACGGGCTACGTCCACACCTCCTTCTACACGCCGGAGGGGCTCGCCTACGGCACCCGTCTCCACACGCACTTGCTGGGCAACATCCACACCCACCTGGTGCACTACAAGGTTGACCTGGATGTTGCAGGTGGGTTCGCTCGTCCAGGGCGGAGACCGATATGGAGCGGTTGGGGACCTCCCCCCCCCGGTCCAAATTTCCACGGTTGTGGCCAAACTCTTCGGGACGGAAGCTTTCTCGTCCGGTTGGCTACGTCCGTGGAAACGAAACAGTCGCCGAGAATCGTTTTTCTCGAAGTAGCCTCTACAGCTGTTCATTTACCTTTATAGAACTCCTTTCTATATAAAAAAAAGTTTATCCATACTCTGAAACAGAGGTCCCCCCAATCTTTGGGACAGTAGGGACCGGTTCCGTGGAGAAAGGTTTTTTTCCACGGACCACAGAGTGTGTGGTTTTGTGTGCAACCTGCATCCCGCGGATGGGGCTTTGTGTGTTTGTGCGGACCGGTGGCTGGCGTGCTGCGGCCCCGTACCGGGGGTTGGGGACCCCTGCTCTGAAGAGTGTGCAGTTTGAACGCTGTCCAGGGTCCCGGGACACCTCCGAGGCAAAAGGTAGCGTGGGCTTGGGCTGAGAATAGAATAAAGAATAGAATAAATAGAATAAAGAATAGAATAGAATAGAATAGAATAAAGAATAGAATAAATAGAATAAAGAATAGAATAGAATAAAGAATAGAATAGAATAAAGAATAGAATAGAATAAAAAACAGAATAAAATAAAGAATAGAATAAATAGAATAGAATAAAGAATAGAATAGAATAAAAAACAGAATAAAATAAAGAATAGAATAGAATAAATAGAATAGAATAAAGAATAGAATAGAATAAAGAATAGAATAAAGAATAGAATAAAGAATAAAGAATAGAATAGAATAGAATAAAGAATAGAATAGAATAAATAGAATAGAACAGAATAAAGAATAGAATAGAATAAAGAATAGAATAGAATAAAGAATAGAATAGAATAGAGAATAGAATAGAATAGAATAGAATAGAATAAAGAATAGAATAGAATAGAATAGAATAGAATAGAATATAGAATAGAATAGAATAGAATAAATAGAATAGAATAAAGAATAGAATAAAGAATGGAATAGAATAAAGAATAGAATAGAATATAGAATAAAGAATAGAATAGAACAGAATAGAATAAATAATAGAATAGAATAAAGAATAGAATAAAGAATAGAATAGAATAGAATAGAATAGAATAGAATAAAGAATAGAATAAAATAAAGAATGGAATAGAATAAAGAATAGAATAGAATAAAGAATAGAATAAAGAATAGAATAGAATATAGAATAAAGAATAGAATAAATAGAATAAAGAATAGAATAGAATAAAGAATAGAATAGAATAAAGAATAGAATAGAATAAAAAACAGAATAAAATAAAGAATAGAATAAATAGAATAGAATAAAGAATAGAATAGAATAAAAAACAGAATAAAATAAAGAATAGAATAGAATAAATAGAATAGAATAAAGAATAGAATAGAATAAAGAATAGAATAAAGAATAGAATAAAGAATAGAATAAAGAATAGAATAGAATAAATAGAATAGAACAGAATAAAGAATAGAATAGAATAAAGAATAGAATAGAATAAAGAATAGAATAGAATAAAGAATAGAATAGAATAGAGAATAGAATAGAATAGAATAAAGAATAGAATAGAATAGAATAGAATATAGAATAGAATAGAATAGAATAAATAGAATAGAATAAAGAATAGAATAAAATAAAGAATGGAATAGAATAAAGAATAGAATAGAATAAAGAATAGAATAGAATATAGAATAAAGAATAGAATAGAACAGAATAGAATAAATAATAGAATAGAATAAAGAATAGAATAAAGAATAGAATAGAATAGAATAGAATAGAATAGAGAATAGAATAAAATAAAGAATGGAATAGAATAAAGAATAGAATAGAATAAAGAATAGAATAAAGAATAGAATAGAATATAGAATAAAGAATAGAACAGAACAGAATAGAATAAAGAATAGAATAGAATAAAGAATAGAATAAAGAATAGAATAGAATAAAGAATAGAATAAAGAATAGAATAGAATAGAATAATGTTGGAAGGGACCTTGGAGGTCATCTAGTCCAACCCCCTGCTCAGGCAGGAAACCCTCTACCATTTCAGACAAATGGCTGTCCAGTCTCTTCTTAAAAACTTCCAGTGTTGGAGCATTCATCGCTTCTGGAGGCAGGTAGTTCCACTGGTTAATTGTTCTCACTGTCAGGAAGTTTCTCTTTAGTTCCAGGTTGCTTCTCTCCTTGGTTAGTTTCCATCCGTTGCTTCTTGTCGGGCCTTCAGGGGCTTTGGAGAAGAGCTTGACTCCCTCTTCTTTGGGGCAGCCCCTGAGATACCGGAACGCTGCTATCCTGTCCCCCCTCGTCCTTCTCTTTGTTAAACTAGACATCCCCAATTCCAGCAATTGTTCCTGATATGTTTTAGCCTCCAGTCCCCTGATTATCTTTCACCCCAAAACTGACGGTGAACCTGATTAAAAAAAACGTTCCGGTCTCGTTCTTCTCCGCAGGGACGGCCAACAGCTTCGAGACGGTGGACATCGCCTTTGAGAACATCTCCCTCCCCTGGGAACCGAGCCACCGGCTGGTGCAGCCCCGGTTGAAGCCCGAGCCGCGCCTGCGGGAACGCCAGGCGGCCTTCCCCATCGGCAAACCCCTGCCTCGCTACTTCCTGTTTACCAACCCGAGCCAGAAGAACCGCTGGGATCACCTGCGCAGCTACCGCCTCCAGCTCAACTCCCACGCCGGCCTGGTCCTGCCTCGGAAATGGAAGGAAGAGAACGGGGTCACCTGGAGCAGGTGAGCTGGGACAGGAGAGAAGAGAGAGCTGGGAAGGGACCCTGGAGGTCTTCTAGTCCAGCCCCTCTGCTCAAGCAGGAGAACCTACCCCATCTCAGACGAGGGACTGTCGAGCCACTTCTTAAAAATCTCCAGTGAGAGAGGCAGGCCCTGGCGCTCCCGCACAAAGCCCCGTACGCTCCAGTGGGGGGGCGGGGATGCTCGAATGGAGGGCACTTGTGCTCACACTCAAAGCTTCACTCGTGCAAGTGTGAGGGCGCTGATGCGCAAACGGAGCGTGAGCGGAGCTTCGCGTGCGAACACCAGTGTCCTCCGCTCGCGCGAGCGGAGCTTCGCCTCCCTGCGCACGCTTGCCCGCTGCGCGCACGAGTGGAACGTCACGTGCACGGGCTTGCCCGTTTCTCTCGCTGCCCGGTGTTAAACACGCCACGGTCCAGTAGCGGGCCCCAACCCCGTGGGTTGGGGACCCCTGCTTTAGAGTAGAAGAATAAGGGGTCTCGGCCTAGTGTTCTCTTCAAGGGGGTTAGCAGAAAGATGGGGAGGCGCTTCGGAAACAAAATTGGGGTGAAGGGCAGCCTGGGCCCAAAAAATCAGAGTGGGATTTAGGGAAATAACCAAGGCAGCACCCCCCCCCCCAGTACTTGTTGGGCACAAAATCAGGAGAAGGAATATCAGAAGACGGAGGGGGGACCTGTAGCAGATACATGAGGCAGGTCCACAGAGGGTTCTGGGTCGCTAGCAGCTCTACAACTGTGTTTTCGGGAGGAAGGTATCACCATGACGGTAACGCGCCCTGCCACAGGGACAGAGGAAGAGGGAGTCAGGTCCCTCTAGACATGTGGGGTGGGGTCACCCCGGCTATGCTTGGAGGCTGACACAGGGCATTCCCCCCCCCCCGGCAGGTACCACTTGGCTGTGACACAGCAGCACGAGAACGAAGGCGTCAGCAGCAGCTTGTACATCCAGAACGATCCCTGGAATCCCAGCGTGAGCTTTGAAAACTTTCTCCGGAAGGACGAGAGCATCGACAAGCAGGTAAGAGGGTTGTACGTGTGTGGGGTGTCTGCGTGTATTTGTGTGTGTATGTGTGCTCCTTCCTGACCGACTTCTTTCCGGCAGGACCTGGTGGCCTGGGTGACGGTGGGCTTCCTCCACATCCCCCATTCGGAAGACATCCCCAACACGGCCACCCCCGGCAACATGGTGGGCTTCCTGCTGCGCCCCTTCAACTTCTTCGACGAAGACCCCTCGGTGGCATCCCGTCGCACGGTCATCGTGCGTCCCGGAGAGGCCGGGAGCCGGGATGGCGTGCGAATTCAGCGCTGGACGCCGGAGAGCCCCGGGCAGTGCGTGACGAAAGAGCCCTTCAGCTACAACGGCACGTACCGCCCGATCTAGCTCAGCTGGGACCATCCGACCCTGGAACGCAGCCGTCACCAGTTCGAAACGCGCCCGGAAGGACCTCATCCAGCGATGCCCGTGGCCAGGCAGAGGGTCCACGGGCAGAAAAAATGGGGAGGAACTTGGCATTATCCCTGTCCCAAATCCTTTCCAGGACTGGCTATCCCTCGACCGCCAGCAAGTGGCCCGAAGTCCTGCCTCACTTGCGCCCCCTCCTGGCCCATTACTGACACTGCAGCCAAGGGCACAATTTCGACTCTGGGACACAAACTTGGCAACGGGCAAGTTTCAAGACTTGGGGGTTCCAGCTATTTTCCTCCCCCCCCAGTTGTGTTTTCCCAGAGGGTAGCTTTTGGAGCAGGGCTCCTCCCCCCCCCGTGGGCCACGTGAATCCACTGTCCTACCCAGCAGGGCTGTTGTGAAAATAAATGAGATCAACCTTTCAAAGCCTCCTCCAATCTTTTGGGACCGGAAGGAGTGCGTAAAACACACTCTGGAAGGCTTGTCGTTTTAAAAGGCCAAGAATGCTCAGCCCCAAGACCCATGTGCCACCGAAGGCCCCGCCCAAAGCGCCAATCAACAGCCACTCCCCTCCCCATGTACCCCCCTCTCACAACCACAAAACCCTCGATGGCCCCTGCCCCGGAGGTCACTCTGCAAGCAGTCTCCTTGACATTGTTCGTCCGGTCGCAAAAGGAGATCCTGGGACGTTGAGACCGTCGTAAAGACGAGTCAGTTGCCAAGGGTCCGGATTTTACAACCCATGACCCCTGGGGAATGCCAGAACGGTCCTTAAGCGTGAAAAGCAGTTTTTCCAGTGCTGTTGCAATTTCGATCACTAAAAGGAACCGTCGTTAATTGAGGACTAGCTGCGCTAGTCACAGAGCGAGACGCCCATCTCTTGTCCTGGGATGGTCAGCTTCTTGCCTTCTCCCTCACCTGAGCCAGGTGACCCAGGACTATGTCCCCTCCCACCCTCCTTCCCTCCCTCCAACATACAGGGGAGTCCTCAACTTACGGCCCCAAATTTATGTCGCTAAAGGAGCAATGGGTTGAGTTTCGCCTCATGCTACGGCTTTCCGGCCACGTTCATGAAACGAATGCCCGCAGGTTGTTAAGTGAGCCTGGCTCCCTGCTTTGTCAGAAGGTCGTAAAAAGGGTACCGCGTGGCCTCCCCACCCCCCTGGGGACGCTGCGACTGTCGTAAACGTGAATCAGTTATCCAGTCTACGTCACGTCGTAAAGGGGACGCTGCCAACGGGCGTCAGGGTGAAGACGGACATCGGTCCCTTTTTCCCGGCGCCATTTTAAATTCCAACGGTCGCTAAACGAACGGTCGTACGTGGAGGACCAGCTTGGCCGAAGGGGTCCTTTTCGGCTGCCCACACCCAAGGAACCAGGTGCCACAGCCCTGGGTAGACCGATGGGTTGTGTTGTCCTTTCCCGCCACGACAATCCCTCAACGATGGCGGTGGTCCAAAGCGGGGAGGGGCACCCCTGGATGTTTTGTCTCTCCCTGCCTTGCAAGAAATACAGACAGGTCATCCTCGGCTTACGACAGCTCAGTTAGTGACCGTTCAAATTTGCAACAGCACTTGAAAAAAAACCGGCCGTTTTTCACATTTACGACCGCTGCGGCATCCTCGCGATCAAAATCCAGACGCTCGGCAACTGTCTCGTACTTATGACGGTCACGGTGTCCCGAGTGGGGTCCCGTACTCCCCTTTGGGGGAACCAGATTTGTTCAACCGCTGTGTGACTAACTTAAGAACCGCGGGGGGTTCGCTTCCCAACGGTGGCGGGGACGGTCGTAAAACGGAGCAAAACTCACTAAGCAGCTGTCTCACTTAGAAACGTAAATTTGGGGGGCTCGACTGACGTCGTACATCAACTAGCCCGAATCCTTTGCTCTCCTCTTAAACCCCCAGGCTGACCCACACAGGACCCCCCTATGAAACCCCCCCCCGAAACAGACGAGACGGGGGAGCGGTGTAGTCGTCCAGTCCAAATTTATTGGGCATCGGTTGCTACTGCCGAGGACAACATGCGGGGGGGGGGGCTGGGAATGTCGCGTGCATCCTTCAGATGTGTGGGATAAGCTGGGAGGGGGGGGTCTGGAGACCTGCCAGGTGTGGGGGGATCATTGCCCCCCCTTGATGGAACGAAACCTCCGGTACCCGAGTGAGAGGGGCAGGACCGACCCGTGACAGGTGAGGGAGGGACAGAAAAGGAAGTTGCATGCAGCGGGTTGCTGCTTTAATGGGTGGGAGGGCGTGCTTACGCAACGGGGTGTGGGAAGGAGCAGGGACCTCCCCCCGTTCCCTGCCGTGCCCCCCTTGCACCCCGTTTTTTTTCTCAGCGGGAACGCTTCGCCGCAATGCCAGCAGAGGAAGAAGCGGCGAAGAGAGTGGGGCGCGCCTGTGTAGAGAGAACGCACCCCCTTACAGAGATGTGTAGCCGCATGTGTAGTGGGGGGGGGCTGTGGAGACAGCCCTGATTCTAAGGGGGGGAGTGACCCAGCAGTAAGTGACCCACCACCTGCCCGTCCTCAATCCTCACGACCTCCGGGATGGTCTCCGCTCTCCTGTACCGGTTGCTGCTACGACCCTCCAACCAGCCCCGGATGGACTCAAGGAGCGTTTAAATTATTGCTCAGCTGGAGCCTCCCCCCCATGCAGAAATCGCTTTGGTGAAGCAAGGGGGATCGTGAAAGACCTGGGGAGGGGTCTCTCAAAATAAGGAAGTGGGCCGTGGGCCCCGTGTTGCTCTCGTCCCAGTACCACAAAGATCACAGCTCCCCAGAGTGAGACGGGGGGGAGCTTCTCGTTGCTGGGCCGAGCTGCCCTCCTCAGGGGGTCCAGCTTGTGGCCCTGCAGGAGCCCCCCCTTTCTTCCTGCTCAGCCACTTGGGGTGATCGAAGGAGGACGATAACACCACAATGTTCAGGGTCCCAAACGGCGCTCCGATCCTCGTGGTCAGTGTCCTGTCTGCTCCGCCCCCGCCGTCGTCCTCGTGACGCCACGGTTCCTGTAGCCCTCCTGCCGGTCCCCCGGGACCAGCCCGCCTGTTAAGCCAGCTAACGTCGTCTGGGTCGGCCGGGCCAGGAGGCTGCCCCTCGTCTGGGCCGCGGGGGCCCCCCGGCGATCCTTCTCCACCGTCGGCTCCCCATCGTGCGGAGAGACCCTCGTCTGGGCCTCCGTCCAGTGTCCATTAACTGCCGGGATCCGAGCAGTGTCTGTGCAAATCTGGGGGCAAGTCCGGGTCCTCCGTGGCGGCCAGCTGCCCCGGGAGTGAAAGGCGCCGTGGGGCCACGAAGGGTGGCTCCATCAGCAGTACCACCTCGTCGCTGGACTCGGCGGCGTCCACGCAGGGAGCCGGGAAAAGGGGCATCTGAGAAAGGATGAGAAAGCGTGAGCGGTCTGTGGGGCTCAAACCCCCTTCCAAACCCCCTTCAAAGGTGAAGGAAGGGGAAGCACCCACAACAGCAACCCCTGATGCCATGTCCGCCCGGTCCGTCTGACACGGCTTTGTGTCCCGGTGGGGGTTCCGCAGGTTTTTTTTTAGGGTGCTACAGAAGTTCGGGTGCTGCAGATCTGAGGACAGGGCCCCGCCTACGAGGGGACACTCACCTGTGTCCGGGTGCAGAGTGTCTGGGCCAGGATGGGGGGCAAGAGCGGGGGGTGTTCCCCCAAGGAGGGCTCGGCGTTTGGCGGAGGCTGCGGTGAGGAGACGGCGCTGTAGGTGGGGGGCACCAGGACCGCCTGGCGTTGCAGCAGCTGCAGGATGGAGCCCACGTCCGCAGTCAGGCGGTTCTCCAGCCTGGGGGGGGGAAACGACAGGGGTGGGGTGGGCGGTGAAGGCCCAGACAGACAACAAGGCATCTCTTCCACGCACCTTTGTGTGCGACACACCGGTCTCCACGTCCATCCGCCTTAGGAAAACGCTCTGTGGTGCCCTTGTGCAAGGAAAGTGCCAGAACAGGGCACCGTCCTTGGGGCACCCATCCGATTGTGCCTGCTCCGGGCAGGAAGGACCCTTCCCCGCTTCTAGCCAGCTCTTCCATCCCTGTTTCTCCAGGAGGGGTTGAGGGCTTGGAAGAACGAAGAGGACACCCCCTCACCCAAAAAGAGCATGCCCGGGACTGATTCTGCTGCGTTTGCAGGGCACAATCGGATTACACACGCACACGAACGCATCCCCGTGCCCGTCTGCTCTTACCTGTTGAGCTGCTTCTGGAGCAGGTCCAGGCGGCCCTCCAGCTCGGCGCGGTGCCGCCTGCTGCTGGCGGCCAGGGGGAGGTTGAGGGTGGGGCGGGCAGCAGGGGGGCAGCGAGGCAGCTCCTGGTACTGCCGTTCTCGGTTCTCGGTCCAGAAGCTGAAGATGTTCGACACGCCGGAAAAGGCCCCTGGGGGATACAGGAGGGAGGAGGGGTCAGCCCCAGGCACTCCTCGGGGGGGTCCCTGCGAGATGGGCAGGTCGGCCCCCTCCCGGGTCCCAGAAGCGGAGTGGGTGGCCCGAATGAAGGAAGGTCCCATGTCGTGCAGACGCCAAGCCCTCCTCCTCTTTCTGCTCCCCCATTGAGCTACGGATGGTGAGCAAAACTCACCCCCTGCCAAGCAGGCCTTACCGGAGAGCGGGTTGCAGGAGTCGCTGCTCTGCTGCTCGGGTGTGGCTGCGGAGGGAGGCACGGCGAGGGGCGCCACGGTCCGGTGGAAAGGCGACAGCTCCGTGACCCTGGCGACGGGGACGGGGATCTCCTCCTCGTCGCTGGAGGGGGCCGAGCTGCTGAGGCACGCCTCCCACCTGGGGGAGGCGGGCGACGGGCGGTTCTGGCCGAGGTGCAGGGCCTTGGGCTGGGACCTGGCGTCCCCCAGTTGCTCGTCTGCGGGACATGTAGGGGAAAAAAAAAAGTACTCTACGTGTGTCTCGAAGCACAGGCTGTGCGCGCCGTAGCCTAGCAGCGGTTCCACGCCAGGATTGCAAGCTAGGCGGGTCCAGGGTCTTGAACATTCACAGTTTGCTCGCCGGGATCGGCAACGGCAGACACGTGGGGAGAGGCTGAGGGGTCCCCGGAGGGAGCAGCGAGAAAGGTTTAATCGAACTTCACAGACCCCCTCGGAGGACCACGGAGAGAGGCGGTTTCCTCTGGCCAAGACTTACCTTTCTCGGTGCGCCGTCGGAAGGAGAGCTTGCGTCGTCGCAGGCGATTGAAGCCCCCGTTCATCTCGTCGCTGCCAGGGGATCCCGGGATCATGTTGGTCTGCAAGGCAAAGCAGCTCTTTCTCACGCGGGGAGAAGGCAAGACTCCAGAGGAAGAACGGGTCTGGGGGGGAGGGGGGGAGCACCGCGGGCAGGTGGGGAGGGGGCTAGTCCCGGCCCCGAGCCGCTCACATCTCGCAGGTTGAAGGTGATCTCCAGGTTGGACCAGAAATGGTCAGAGAACTCCGGGTACATGTCCAGCACCTCCAGCAGATCTTCCCGGTGGATCTTGTGCAGGTCGCAGTACGTCAGGGCGCGCACGTCCGCGTTGGACTTGCCGGGTCGCGCGTACAGGTTGAGGGGCTCCCCAAAGATATCATTCTTCCCTGGGGGGGTGGGGAGAGAGTGGACAAAGAAGACACAAGGGCGGTGGGACACCAACCAAAAGACGCGTGTCAGGCTTTGCTGCAGGGACAGACCACCATGCGTTGTGGAGAGCGGGAGATGAAGTGGGGGATGCTTGGGGAAACGGACATAAACGCTGTTTCTCCCAGAGATGCTGCCTCAAGGTCACCCAGCGGGGAGAAGCAGCGAACTACGTACCAACCTGCTCTAGGACTGACCGTTATGTCTGAACCTGGTCATACGGGGGGGCAATGGACTGGTCATACTGGGGGAGCAATCGGGGGCGGAATGGGGGGCAACGTTGAGGGAGGGAAAAGTACAACGTAGGGACTTGGGCGCGCGAGTCTCAGTTTGGGCATTGCAATTGTTAGCGGTCAACAATAATATACCGTTCTCCAAAAATGAAGCCAAGGATTGTTTCTATCCGAAGGTTTAAGTGCAACCGTCCGATGAAGCAGGAGACCTGACACAATTTTGGAAGGGACCTTGGAGGTCTTCTAGTCCAACCTGCAGGAGACCTTTACAGAATACCAGAGTAGGTCGCAAAAAGGATCACATGATCCAGGGACACTGCGACCATCATAAATACGAGCTTGTCAGAAGATCGCAAAAGGGGACCACATGATCCTGGGACACTGCTACTGTCATAAATACGAGCTTGTCAGAAGATCGCAAAAGGGGACCACATGATCCTGGGACACTGCTACTGTCATAAATACGAGCTTGTGAGGTCACAAAAGGAGATTGCATGATCCCGGGACACTGTGACTGTCATAAATACGAGCTTGTTGGCAGGTCGCAAAAGGGGATCACATGATCCCGGGACACTGCTACCATCATAAATACAAGCATGTCGGAAGATCGCAAAAGGGATCACATGATCCTGGGACACTGCGACCGTCATAAATACGAACTTGTGAGAAGGTCACAAAAGGAGATCACATGATCCCGGGACACTGCTACTGTCATAAATACGAGCTTGTCAGAAGGTCGCAAAAGGGATCACACGATCCCGGGACACTGCGACCGTCATAAATACGAGCTTGTGGGAAGGTCACAAAAGGGGATTGCATGATCCTGGGACACTGCAACCGTCATAAATACGAGCTTGTGGGAAGGTCACAAAAGGGGATCGCATGATCCTGGGACACTGCGACTGTCATAAATACGAGCTTGTGGGCAGGTCGCAAAAGGGGATCACATGATCCCGGGACACTGCACCCGTCCTAAATACGAGCCAGTTGCCAAGCGTCTGAATCATAAGTGTGCGGTCATGAGCCAGTTTTTCCAGCGCCATTGTAACTTTGAACGGTCGCTAAAGGAACCGGGTAATGATTTAAAGGCTAACCAGCCGACGTAATGTAAGGTGGACGACGCAAGGATAGGATTGACTCAGCAGGGTCTGTGTCTCTTTAAGAGCAAGCAGGGTCTGTATCCCTTTAAGAGCCTGAGTATAAAAGGGAAGGCTTTGTTGGGGTGTGTGTCTCTCTCTGTCTCGTCCGTTTCCCGCTGCAACTGCTGTGTTTTGCACCCTGCTGTACTAGCACGTGTATGTATATTGTTCCGGGTGTACCACTGTTTACTGTATTTACTCCTGGGTTATCTGTGTGTGCACGCTCTGACAGAGGACTCCCTGTATTCATCCGGGCCCCTGCCACCTTCTCAAGGGCCGTTCTAGGGACACTTTGGGGAGGGGGTGTCCTTTCCGTAAGACCGGAAGCGGAGCAGGGACCGGCGGCAGCCCCTTCCTCACCTAGAATGGCGACCACCACATCCCCCCGGAGGATCTCGATGGAACCGCGGGAGATGAAGTAGAGGGCGGTCAGCACATCCCCGGCGTGCACCAAGGTGTCCCCCGGCGGGGCGTGGGTGGTTTTGAACTTCATGGCCAAGGCCCGCAGGCAGCCCTTGCTGGCGCCCCGGAAGGGACGGCAGTTCTGCAGTAAGGTACGGTTCAGGTGCAGGCAGATGTCGGCTTGCAGGCACTCGGGGAATCCCTTCAGCACCTGCAGGGGGGAGAGAAGGAGGGAGGGAGGGGGGAGAGCTCGAATCGGGTCCCCGGAAGCTTCCCATCCTGAGGAACGTCCGCCCGCGAGGACCGATCCAACAAAGGAGAGGCCGATCCCGTTCTCAGAAACCATTTGTGGCGTCAAAAAAAATGTAGTGTACTCTACGCCAGAGTTCCCCGACATTTTTTTGGCTGGAGGAGGGATTGGTGTGAGCAGCGGGTGCGCGCAAACGGAGGACGTGCACATGCGCTGCCTACTACTCGGGCAACGGGGGGGATGAGTGCAAAGTGCATGCTCGCCCACCACTTCTGCAGCCCGGTTCTGAACGTCTCAAGGCCCGGGGGTTGGGGACCCGTTCTACACTCCTTGGGGGGTGCTAAAGGGAGAGACCCCAGTGCCACAGGTGTTTCCACACCCCATAATGGGGGGAGAACTGGACCCGCAGCTCACCGGTCACCCGGGGAGCCGAGACCCGCCAGGATCTCGAAGGGAGGGGTCAGACACAACTCACCGCGTTCATGTCGATGCCGTTGGTGTAAGACCAGGCGTGCTGGAAATACTCTTCTAGGCGCTGGCGCAGGGGGTTGGGGATCTGGTGGAAGCGGATGAACTCTCGCACCCGCAGCATCTGGGTGTGGTAGCGGGCAGTGCCAGAGTACAACCGCTGGATGATGGCCGACACGTTCCCAAAGATGCTGGCGTACATCAGGGCTGGCGAGACGGAAGGGAGACACCAGTCAGCGGCGATTGCTCCCGGCGCCTGGAAACGGGTTCTGCCTCGCCCACGGCTACTCCCGGGCCTCCTCTCCATTCCCAGGCTCCCCTCAGCTCCCTACTACGTGGCAAATCGGGGTAGGAACTCTCCCAATCCAAGGGGTGACACGCCGCCTGCCGCCCAGTACCCCGGGCGGGATTCGGGAAGGCTGTGCGTCGTACGCGCTTAGTCCCAGCTCGTCCCGCACGCCGAGGACGAGACGCAGAGAGGGCACCCATTTTTAAGTGGGCGCCGCCTCCCCAACTGGGCCCGCCCTCCCGACGGGCAGCACTCACAGCCAATCAGCATGACGCAGATGGAGAAGATCTTCTCCGAGTTCGTGTTGGGCGAGACGTTGCCGAAGCCGACGCTGGTAAGGCTACTGAAGGTGAAGTAGAGGGCGGTGATGTACTTGTCCTTGATGCTGGGACCCAGGTGCAAGGTGGTCTCGTTGAAGGGCTTCCCGATCTGCCCGCCCAGCGAGTGGAGCCAGCCGATGGTCTTGCCCTCCATGTTGCCGATGGCGTACCAGATGCAGGCCAGCCAGTGGGCGATCAGGGCGAAGGTGCACATCAGCAGGAAGAGCACGGCCGCCCCGTACTCCGAGTAGCGGTCCAGCTTGCGGGCCACGCGCACCAGGCGCAGCAGGCGGGCCGTCTTCAGCAGCCCAATCAGGGTGGTGGTCTGCGTGGGGAGAAGAGGCGGGGAGGGTGTGAATCTCCCGGCGGGGAAACGCGACAACTCGCCACTGCGAACTCATTCGGGCCAATTGGCCACGGTAAATAGGAGCCAGCTTTGTGCTGCAGCTGTCAAAAAAGCCAACACAGTACTAGGCTGCATCAACAGAGGGATAGAATCAAGATCAGGTGAAGGGTTACTACTTTACAAGGCCTTGATAAGGCCACACTTGGAATACTGCATCCAGTTTTGGTCACCGCGATGTCAAAAAGATGTTGAGACTCTAGAAACAGTGCAGAGAAGAGCAACAAAGATGATTAGGGGACTGGAGGCTAAAACATATAAGGAATGGTTGCTGGAATTGGGCATGTCTAGTTTAATGAAGAGAAGGACGAGGGGGGACAGGATAGCAGTCTTCCAATATCTCAGGGGCTGCCCCAAAGAAGAGGGAGTCAAGCTATTCTCCAAAGCGCCTGGAGGCAGGACAAGAAGCAACGGATGGAAACTAATCAAGGAGAGAAGCAACCTAGAACTAAGGAGAAACTTCCTGACAGTGAGAACAATTAACCAGTGGAACTACCTGCCTCCAGAAGCGGTGAATGCTCCAACACTGGAAGTTTTCCGAAATGGGATAGGGTTTCCTGCCTGAGCAGGGGGTTGGACCAGATGACCTCAAAGGTCCCTTTCAACTTTTTTTATTATTATTATTATTATTATTATTATTATTATTATTATTATTATTATTATTATTATTATTATTATTACTACTACTACTACTACTACTACTACTACTACTACTACTACTACTACTACTACTACTATTATTATTATTATTACCCCTACCAGGGTCCCGGTCTTAGCCGGGTCCACCCACAGTGTCCCCGACCCCTTTCTCGTAGCTGTTTCCGCCCCACAAGGTTTTTTGGGGGGGCAAGCAGACTGTAAGTGGGGGATTCTCCGAGGTTGCAAAGAGGGGAATTCCCCACGTTTTCCAGCTTTGTGGACCGGCGGGGGTGGGGTGGGGATGGTTTGGCCCGAGCGGCAGACACGGAGCGTGTTTACGCGCTCGCCCGCTCCATTAGCGCACGGACGTGTGCCTGCACGCTCACTCGCCACTTCTGCGGACCGGTTCCAAACGTCTCAAAGGACGGGAGTGGTCCACGGCCCGGGGGGGGGGTTGTGGGACCCTGGGCAAAGAGGAACCAAATTGTGACGCTACACCTTCGTCCGGGAAGCCTTCTCTGAGCAACAGGACTCTGCGGCTGCTCCTGCTGTTCCCCTGGCTTCACTCCGCTTCTCCCACCGGTGGACGCAGCCCCTCCCACCGCCAGCCACCCCCACGTCTCCCCTCCAGCTGTCAACAGTGGCTCTCTCATCCCCCCCCAGGGCAAAACCACTCACTGCTGGCCGGAAGGGGAAGGAGGCGAAGATCCGAGCCGCCCGTCAGCGCGGCCGATCCTTGCCGTCTCTCCGGGCGACCCGGATCCTCCATGCAGCCTGTCCGAGGGACCCGTGACGCCTCTCTACTAGCGCGGCTTCCTCCGTTCTCCCTCTGGGGTGGGCCTAGTTTCTCCCCACAGCCGAGGGGAGCCTGCGGGGGCCGGAGGCAGCGATGCCAGCTTCAGCGAAGACACAAAGCTGTCTAGATAAGAGGTCCCCAATCGTTTTGGTGCCAGGGACCGGTTCTGCGGAGAGAGGTTTTTACGTAGACCGGAGGGTACGTGGTGTCGTGCGTTGCCTGCATCCCACGGATGGGGCTTTGCTTGTTTGTGCGGCCCGGTTGCTGGCATGCCGCGGCCCGGTACCGGCCCACGGACAGCCCCTGGTCTAGACGGCCAGCCGTGCCAGCAAGGTGGCCCTCCTCCCTCCGGCCCTCTGGCATGCCAGCTTCAATCTCTCCTCCCCCTTCTCGTTGCAGGCAGGCATCCAACTGATCCATTTTGGCTCGATCAATATAAAAACCGCCTGCCGTCGGGAAGCCAAGCTCCTGTTGTCAGGAAGAACAAAAAGGGAACATCTGGCCTGCCAAAACCACAGCCTCCGCCTCGCCGCCTTGCCCCCCCTTTCGCCCTTCGGCGTCCCTGAAAGTCAAGAGCCCTGCCTTGGCCGGAAGCGCTCCAGGATCCTAAAAATAACTTTAAAAAAGCCAAGACTTTCTCAATTTTCCCTAACTCGACACGGTACAGTTAATGCTCAACTGGCAACACTTTATTTAGTGACCGTTCAAAGTTACAACGGCGCTGGAAAAAAAAGTGACTTAGGACCGTTTTTCGCCGTAGCATCCCCGGGGTCGCGGGATCAAGATTCAGCTGCTTGGCCGCCGATTCCTATTTATGATGGGTTGCGGCGTCCCGGGGGGGGTGTCACGCGATTCCCCTTCCACGACCGTCCGACAAAGTCAACGGGGAAGCCGGAAGTCACTCAGCGACCGTGTCACTCGCTTAACAACTCCGTGGATTTCCGTCCAAAAAGTGGCAAAAGAGAGGTCGTAAAAAAAACGGGACGAAACTCGGTTATGGACCGTTGCCGTGTGCTACGGTCGCGCGATCCTCCTTTGGTGACCGTCGGACCGGCGAAGCCAATGGGGAAGCTAGATTCACTTACCAACCGGGTGACTTAACCACCGTGGTAAGAAAGTGTCGTACATGGGGCCAATTCGCTTCGCCGACGTTTCGCTTAGCTGCGGAAAAGCGGGGCTCCGCTGTACGCCGTACGTCGAGGACTGCTCGTACACTGTACGCTTTTTGTAAGAAGTGGCAAACGTGGCCGGACACCAAAGGTTGCTCCTCACCCCGAGCAGGTCGAGCCTTTCTCGCTGTAGGGCCCTCTCCCCTCAGCTGCCCCCAGCGCATAAACGCACCGCCCGCCCGTCCACACACCACCACCCCGTCCACACACCCCGGTACCTCTTCCGAGCCGGAGCCGAAGATGAGCAGGTCGAAGGGGATGGCGGCCACCATGTCGATCAGGAACCAGCCCTTGAAGTAGTGGATGGCGATCTTGCCCGGGTGGCTGACCACCTCCTCGTTGGAGTTGACGTACGTGGTGCGGAAGTTGATCAGGATGTCGATGATGAACATGATGTCCACAATCAGGTCCACCACGTTGAGCGGGCTGCAGGAGTAGCTGCAGGGCCGGGGGTCCCGCCCCTCCTGGTTGTTCAGCAGGAAGGCGGCCGAGTAGGGGGTGAAGATGGCCGTGTAGATGACCAGCAGCAGGATCAACCAATCCCAGACCGCCTTGAAGGGGCTGTAGTGCAGGATGGTCCACTTATGGATGCGGGGGGCCTGCAGCTTGTACTCGGGGAGCACATCGGCGCCCAGCGACAGCACCTGGTGGGGAGGGGGGGGAGAGGAGGCAACGTGAGCAAGTCCAAACTGAAACCCCCTCCCCCAGGGTCACAGCCCCGTCCAATCCAGCCGCCCCCAAACTCTGCGCTAGCTCCCCTTTCGGGATGTGCCTCCCTCGGGTTGGACTAGATGACCTCTAAGGTCCCTTCCAACAATGTCATTCCGTGATTCTGTAAGGGTCTCCTGCTTGAGCAGGGAGTTGGACTAGATGACCTCTGAGTTCCCTTTCAACTCTGTTATACTATGATTGTGTAAGGGTCTCCTGCTGGAGCAGGGAGTTGGACTAGATGACCTCCAAGGTCCCTTCCAAATGATGCTGTCAGGGTCTCCTGCTGGGGCAAGGGGTTGGGTTAGATGACCTCCAAGGTTCCAACTCTGTCATTCCATGATTCTGTGAGGGTGTCCTGCTGGAGCAGGGGGGTGGGCTAGATGACCTCCGAGGTCCCTTCCAAGTGATTCTGTAAGGGTCCCCTGCTGGAGCAGGGGGTTGGACTAGATGACCTCACGGGTCCCTTCCAAATGATTCTATAAGGGTCTCCTGCTGGAGCAGGGGGTTGGACTAGATGACCCCTGAGGTCCCTTCCAAATGATGCTGTAGGGGTCTGCTGCTGGAGCAGGGGGTTGGGCTAGATGACCTCCGAGGTCCCTTCCAAATGATGCTGTCAGGGTCTCCTGCTGGAGCAGGGGGTTGGACTAGATGACCTCCAAGGTCCCTTCCAACTCTGTCATTCTATAATTCTATAAGGGTCTCCTGCTGG